AGTCCCAGCACGAGAGCTTCATTTGAACGAAATGAAATCATAATGAGATTTTTGCGTTCGTTTTTTGTCGCCGCAGAGGGAGAAAAGATGCCTTGGGTATGGGAACAAGGATTGGGGGATTGGAAATGGTAATGGGATGGTTTGAGGGTAGTACCAACCGACGGAAGCAGCAATTGCTATTGCTATTGCCATTGCCATTGCCATGGCCATGGCATCGCGTAATGACAAAAATTCATAATTGGATAAAGAAGCGGACGTGTGCTGTCCCATCCATAAAATACAAGTCCAGATTGAAATTCAACAGCTTTTAAAGTGAACCAGACAAATATTTAGCCGAGCCAATCAAATTTTAAAAACATATTTAAAAGGAGAAATCATTTTGATTGGTAATCAAAAATGAAATGTATTCAGAGATTAGGTACGTTACGTAGGTAACCTTGCTTATTAATCTATAATTAATTAAAGTATTAAGAAATATCTATAATATTCCCATTAATAGTTTCTCTTATTCTCATTAACAACAATTAAAGCCCAATCAAATATTTTTGCCCTCGTAACTGTTGACAAGCCAAAGGAATATATTTGATGGTAAATCAAACCAAATTGCCGCTCATAAACCACAATTTAATGGGATTCCCAGTCTCCTGAATTGCCCTGCCTCCTGTTTTTGGCCTTATGGCAATTGTGCACTTGATTGTTAGCGGCTTGTTGGGCAGCCAACAGGGCGGATCATCCCAGACCGCAATCCCCAAACCCCCCCCACCTCCACCAAACCAATCCCCGACTGCCATATGGCCAACACAATATGGTTGTTGGCTTGTTCACCGTTGGCCCGTTGGCCCGTTAGCTTGTTGGCCAATTGTTGTGATTGTTGGCAATGCAAAATGCCAGGCATTCGGATGCACTGACGCGTAATCCGCAGCCGGCAATCGAGTGAACGACTTGAGAATTCACTTGACTCGAAATGAAAGAATCTGAAAGGAGCGCAGCGAAACAAATAAAAATAATATAAAGGTGGGCCCCCTTTACATGGCAAGGAGAAATACTACAAGCAAGGTAAATAAATATAAAAAAAAAAAACAATAATTGCCCACAAAAGCAACATTATATATTAGCTTTTGTTGTTTAAGCCAGAGATGAGCTCAATTAAATTTAAGTTCTTTTTTAAAGAAATCGAACTGCTAACTTTGACTTGAATTAAAGTCATTAAAAGGTTTCGATATAAATACCTAATAATTCGAAAGAAAAGCTATTATAAATGAATAACCATTAAGTGAAAGTAGAAAAACTAAAGCATTCTGTGAAACATTTTAAAAATTTCCCTCTTGTTTTTTATCCATCTAAACAGCTTTTAAAATTCCTATTGAAAAATCATTTGAATTCTGTTTCGAAATATTGGATTAAATTGTGTGAGATGTGTGTGTGTGGTGCATTCGATTTGTATTAAACCAAGCTGAATAACTAAATTTGCGAGTGGCACTTCGCCTGTCTGTCGCTGGGTAATTGTATTAACTACACATGTGCACGGAAAATATCAGTAGAGTGTGGAGTGTGGAGTGTGGAGCATCAGCTGCCACAACTAATTAGCCGGGGCCCACATGCATAGGCAAGCTGCGCGTTAATGGAGTGCGTAATGGGTTAATTTTGGCCTAGCAATTCCGCAACACCCACACTTTTTGCGAAATCCCCAACCCCCAATCTTGCTCTTCCCTCTCCCTCGTTAGCCGTCTGTCAATGTTTGCACTTTTGTTTAGCAAGAGGACAGAAGGTTTTGGGTGGTGGGTTTAGTTGTGGGTGGCTGGGATGGTACTTTCTCTAGTGGAAACGTGGAACGTGTCAACGTTATACAGTCGGGGAAACGGGAAAAACCAAAAGTCGGATTCAGATTCTCATTCAGCGGCAAAGTCACCGCGTTGACGACAAGTTAATCACATCGTGTCCAATCAGGCGAGCTAATCCCTTTGACAGGCTTCGACATCCACATCCACATCCTCTAAATCTGAATCTAACTACGAATCTGAAGCTTCTCTTTATTTTGATATTTTCCTAAACATACACTTCCGATGGCCAAGGGTCAAATGGTTTGGATATCATTTCGGATTAATTACCAAAATTTCTAGAGTAAACTAAACATAAATGTTAAGTTTATCTAAAATATCAAATACTAGCTCCTTATATGCTATAATATCACTTTTAAAATACTCAAGAAATGACTTTAATTTCTCATAATATAGCGTATTTAAGGTTCTTCTTGGTTAGCCATAAACTTTCCCTGGACTCTGATTATTATTACTATTATGGATGTAAACCTGGCAACATCTGCTGCATATCAATTTGTTTGGCTCCGTCTTGGAACGCTTAAACTGATCCATGTCAGGTCGCCAGGACCTAAGCCCACAGTCTAAGTTTTTTTTTTTTTCTTTTTGTGGGTTATTGGACTTAGGCGGCTAAGCCCGTTCCGGACATTGGCAATTTGCATTTCCCGATTCAACATCATCGACATTTCCTAGTGGCCAATTATCGCTTAAGCTCTCAGTTCTGCTTTGGTGTTTTTTTGGTAGGCTTTAAAGTTAAGATGGGCATGGAAAATCTGAGGGGTTGAGAGGGTTTGAGGTACTTGGAAGTTGGCCTGTTTAAAAATTCGTTTAAATTCCATTGCCGAAAGTGGCCTGTCCCTTGTTGGCAAAGTCAAAGGCAAAGTGGAGTGAAGTTAGAAAAAAAAAAAGGCTGGGAAAATATGCAGCAACCGCGAAATTGAAATTTTGGCTTCGCTTGCCGCCGCGGCGGCTTCTTGGCATTGTTTTGGGAAAAATCGGCATTGGAATGGTTGCTGCTCACCACCTGATCCTAAGTAAATACCAGGACAAGCCGGTCGGGCAGCCCAAAAAGGACACCCAGATATCCATGCATGTGACTGGATATTTATATTCCCTTCGTTCTTTTTGTATTTTGTTTTTGATATTATGCCTCGCGAGTTGGCTTTTCTTTTTAATTAAATGAAACCAGAGGAATTGACCCAAAACGCAGAATAAATAAATATTTAAGGAAGGGATGAGGGTTTTTGGATGCCTCGTCCTTCTGTTAGCATCTGTTGTTCCATGTTTGCCGCTTGTTTTTTTGTTAATAATTATTTCACTTTTTTCCAAAGGAGGTGGAAAGTATTCAAAAGATGCCGCATAGCCATTGTTTACTGTGGAAACAAAACACCGAAACATAGGCAGCAAAACAATCATGCAGAAAAAAAAAAAAAAAAAAAAACAACAATAAATATTTCACCTTCAATAAATCATTTTACATTTCGCTGTTGGGCAGCAAATCCCCTTTACACCTTTGCCCCCACGAAAAAAAAAAGGTTTCTTGTCAACCCCAAGAGTTTTCCCCTTTTTTTTCCAGTCTCAAATTCAACAAATTTAAATTGAAAATATGTTTAAAAGTTAACTAAAAATCCCTTGAAATCTCAGAGGTTTTCGAAGCAGAATAAGTTTCTGATCAAGTAAATAGTTTTTGATTTTGAATCACCCAAAATATTGACATATTACCATCAAATGTTCTTTACAAGACACGCTTCATAACGTTATCATTCCTCATTTAAGTAAATAATATAATAATATTGCTGAATATTTCAAAGCAAATTTAAATATTATTATAAATAAGGTTCCCAATTATAAACCGGTTGTAGGTATGGTTTATATATTTTTTGGAGAAGAAAACCTAGTCAGACTAACCGGTCGGCTACCAGTTTTTATTATGGGTCAAAGAGTGAGCATTTAATATTTATATATATATATATATATGGGTTGACTACGGGAAATGAATTAAGTCCTTGAGTCACCGTGCCCATCTACCATATGCATCCACATATATAGTTACTTGGTAACACATATCAATTTGGTTTGTTTGTTTGTTTGCCGGCTGATAAATTGGCACTCAAGTGGATTAAAATTGTTTGCAGCTAAATAAATCTGTGTGCCCGGTCTGGACATTTGTCAGGATGTGACAAAAACGATGGGTGGTGCAGCAGATTCTGCCTCTCTCACATATAAGTTCCAACAGAAAAAAAAAGGAAAGTTCAAGTCAGGTTATGAATTAAAAATAAAAAAGGCCTTCCCCTTCTCTATTCAAAATTCCACAATTTAGTAATTTTTTACCTCATCAGCAGCTCTCTCTCTCTCTTCTGTCTCTTGTGAAAAACTTCAAAGGGATCTATTAGCTCGACGGCATTTTCCGGCATGCAAAGGCATTTTTAAGTGCGCTTCTTTTATTTCACATAACATTTCGTCTCCCTGGCGCATTTTTATTCTGTTTTAACAACTTTCAAGTTTTCGGTTTTTTTTTAAATTGGTGGGCTCGACTCACCAACAAATATGTCTCAGGTTCATAAATATGCCCAGATGAATTCCGAAAAATTTAAATTTGCATATTACATAATCGGTGAGACTCACTCTTTTTACGGTTTCACTACACTCTAAAAATATCAGTTAAACTAGTTGTTTTTAGTTTACAATAAAGATATTATAGAGTAACACTCGTATAAATTCCAAAAGTATAACTTTTTACTAGTAAATTTAAGATTTTCCCAATTTCTTTAAGTGCTCAAAAATTTTCTTGATAGTTTATGACCGATTTAACCGATCCAAGCAAGGCCAATGATACGATCGTTATAACACAATTTTAAAGTAAGGGAATGTTATCTGCATCTGCTCAAAAATACTATAAATATATTATAGCTGTAGTATCGTTCTCGTGTTCTTGACTTAATATGCCTTGTCATTGACAAACCAACGTTGGCCAAAATAGTATCATTAACACGCAAACAGTGGGATCAGGTGAGTTAAGAAATGTAATATGGAAATATACATACATTAATCAACCCAATATGAATAAGAAATTGTAACTTCTAAAGCTTAAATTAATACCGCATTAAAATGCAGTTCTTACTTACAAAGTCTCAACAATCATAACTTTCAATGATTGCAGAAATATATTGTAGTATATCTGACCTTAATCTTCCATAATTTCTGGTGAAGTTATAGATGCAGTTGTTGTAGTTGCTGTAGTTGTTGTAGTTGTAGTAATTGTTGTAGTTGTATGATGAAAGTGTCGTTGAAGTTGAAAGTTTTGAAATGTTGAAGTGTTGCAGCAGAAAAACCTATAAGTAAAAATTATATTAGAACACTATACAGCAGATGATCTCATTAAAATTTCAAATAATTTCGCATATACCTGACCGCAAGTCATAAATCTATCATAATCAATTAAAATATAATATATAAATGACTTAAGCGGCACACCTCAAACCACGGTTTTCGGCTAGTTTTTGCCAAATTTGCGCAGTGTTCCAAAACGAAACTTAAGCATCAGACATTTATGTCGATGCTTGATGTTGTGCTGATGGCGATGTTGATGCTGATTACGCTGTTAAGTGGCAAAAAATATATCGATCCGTCCACGTGCCATTTGCATACTCTTTCAGTTGTAAATATTGGTTCCTATAATATAAAATAGTTTTATCAATAATTGTTTTAGTTTAAAATTCTATAAAAGTCACAAGTAGCCCTATGATTACCACATCATCATCATAAATAGTTTACTACAAACAAGCTTCTGAAAATATGTGTTACAATTAAACAAATAGAATAGATTTAAAATTGTTAAAATTGTTTTCCAAAAACAAAAAACAGGAATACATTAAACTTTCGAACTGCTTAACATATTTAAAATACTCCATTGAGTGTATACAAAAAATAAGCAGAATTAATGAGCTAAGAGACGGGCCGCTAAAAAAATTCGGCAAACAAGTTCGCTTCGGAAGCTGGCCAGCTGAGATTGTTGGCTATATGATGATGATGTTGTAATCTTAAAACTACGCGTGCTGTGCAGCCGAGAAATCAGTCTGAAGTCGGACTTCAAGCACGATGATAAACACCGCTGGCCTCTGGTCGATACGAGTGATTCTGTTGCTGTGTAATTGCATCCAATGGAGCGATGGACGTAATTCTCAAAGTTTGCATGTGCGATTATCCCATGGCGGATGGTTGATTGGACGTCATTTGACTACCCATAATGGTCGGCATATGCGGGCATTTATGGGTGTACCATATGCCGAGCCCCCACTCGATGATCTACGTTTCCGGGCGCCAGTGGCGAAGGCAGCTTGGGAAGGCGAACGATTGGCAATTAAGGATGCACCCATTTGCCTGCAGCGTGATCCCTTCCGTCGCGACATGATAATCGAGGGCTCCGAGGATTGCCTGTACCTGAATGTTTACACACCGGAGACTCCCAGGATTAATGGTTCTCTGCCCGTGATGGTATGGTTCCATGGTGGTGGATGGCAATGTGGCTCAGGCATAAGCAGCTTCTACGGTCCGGATTTTCTGTTAGATCACGACATTGTCTTGGTTTCGGCCAACTTCCGACTGGGACCCTTAGGTTTCCTCAGCACAGAGACGATCGATTGTCCCGGTAATAATGGCTTGAAGGATCAACTGGAGGTCCTGCGTTGGGTTCGTGAGAATATAGGATCCTTTGGAGGTGATCCACAAAGTGTAACTGTTTTTGGCGAGAGCGCTGGTGGCGCCAGTGTTACATATCACATGCTATCGGAGAAATCCCGCGGCTTACTGCATCGTGGTATTGCCCAATCCGGCACTTACTTCAATCCCTGGGCACAGCCAGCTCATAAAGGAGTGGCAGCTGGCAGGGCCGCCAAACTAGCCGAGCTGGTAGGATGCGATTCCGCAGGAGAATGGCCGGAAAAGCTAGATTGTCTGCGACAGAGGCCAGCCGAGGACATTGTAGCCTCCTTATACGACATGTTTGTAAGTTTTCCTAACCTAAAAGATGAAAAATTTAAAAGATTAGGAAAAAAGTCAATCAGAATTTAACCCATATATAATAGAAGTGCTTTTCTTTTTTTTTTGTTATGAACGGGTTTAATTTACATTTAAATCAAGACGTTACCTCAATAGTTTAGCTTACCATTCAATATGAATTTCATTATCAACGGATCAATGGCACTATAATTCAAAGATTATTTAAAATACTTTTGTTATAATTAACAACAAAAAGATGGCAAAATGTTAATACAATGCAATCATTTAAGTTGTTATTAAACAAATTAGGTGAAGGGACCACAAAATCTTAACCTCAAACTTGCTTTGTATGATGTAGGTCTGGGACTTTGATCCGATGATCCCTTTTCCGCCAGTCATTGAACCGGAGCACGATGACGCTTTCCTCACAGTTCCACCGCGCCATGCCCTGAAGCCCCATGGTTTGGAACTGCCACTGCTTGTGGGCGCTACTGCGGAGGAGGGTCTCTTGAAAACAGCCGCTCTGCTTAATCTTCCCCCGCTGTTGGCCGAGTTTAAGGCTCAGTTTGAGCAGGTTCTGCCAGTTGTTCTGAACTACGATCACCATGAGGATTCCATACAGCAGAGGATAACGAAACGCATCGAGAGCTTCTACTTTAAGGCGGGCCACGATTACGATAAGGCCAACCACCAAAATCTGACCGATGTAAGTAAAGGACTCCCGATCTAAAGAGATTTTATAGGGAAATCAAATATTTCTTACCATTTTAGCTCATTTCGGATGGCTGGTTTGTGGCCGGAATCGACGAGTATCTACGCCTTCGCATGTCACAAGATGGCGTCGGCCCAACGTATGTTTACCTTTTTGATCACAAGGGCGCCGCCAGTTTTACGGAGATTTTTAAGGGCGGCCGAAATGAGTTCTACGGAGCATGCCATGCTGAGGAGCTCCAGTATTTATTCCCAATTGGACGAGAACTATTTGTGAGTGCAGTGCCCACTAGCAAAGATCTGGAACTTCGCGAGTTGATGCTCCATTTGTGGGTTAGCTTTGCCAAAACCGGGTAAGAACCACAATAACACTTTTTTCACTGTTAACTAATATCACTTCCTTCAAATAGCAATCCAAATCCCATAAATGCCACTTTCCATTTGCCCAATTGGAGTCCGGCGTCTAGTTATCCAGTAGAATATGCCCGCTTGGGATCCAAAATGGAGGACGCGTCGTCTATTTTCCAACTAGAGAGTGAACTCATGCAACAGCGCGCCGATTTTTGGCGGGAACTTCAGCCGCACTTGCCCGCCAGCCATGCCCACAACGAGCTATAGTCCACTAAATCCGTACCGAAATGTAATCCATATGTAATTTCATTAAAACGATTTTTAAATATTTCACCGCACGCCAAAAATGAATAGTTTTTTTTTAATTATTTTACAGTTTTACCGCCAATTTAACATAAGGCGGCCTGGGAGTTGCCAGAGTTAAATATTAGCATTTTAGCTTTTATGTTGGCTAGTTTGGCTTGATTAAGAAAACGACATAGAAAATTAATAATTTATATTAAAATTCATATGCACTTTGTTACTATATTGTTTAATTTAAAGATTATGAGTCAGGGAAAAATTTAACAGGCTTTTTTATATATATATATTAAAGGCTTAGATGAATTTAATGACATAAAAATAACCAATTGGTTTTATTGTCTTATTAGAATATTATAGAATATAGTCCTAAAATCTTTATCTTTAGAGGTATAGTATCAAGCAGTTCCGCTGTTTAGAAAGTCATTAGTGTTAGTTACTCTTGACTTCAACATTTTTGTTCAAAATAAACTTTACTCCAAGATGTATTTTCTTAATAAGGTACAAAGTTAAAGTTTTTGAACATTTTCTTCGTAAACTATGTTTTCTTCAAGCAATAAAATGTTTAAACATTTTAATTATTGTTTTGTATTTTTAAAATATTGGAAATACACCTTTGGTTCGGACAAACCCCATGTAAGCCCTTGTACAATTATTCAATGAGTTAATATTTTCAAACAAAAAATTCTTTATTTTTCGTATATAATCCAACCCAATCCAATCAAATTCTAATAATTAGATTGATCTGTGACCTACTTTCGAACGCATTTAACATATGTTATTATATATCATATAAAATATTAATTATAAATGAATTTATAGCTTTTTTATTTAGCTTTTAATCTGTGTACTTGTTTTATCTGTTGATCTGGCAACGCCTGAAAAAGCATTGCCGCATCGTTAGAAAAACCTTAGAAATGTGTAAACAAATCAATACAGAAAAAAGTAAGATTAGGCTATATATAGAAATTCTGGAAAAGGGAGAATTCAGATGATTAATGCCAGTTGAAATAAAACAGTGAAACAATATACAAGGCAGTCTTAAGATCTAAACAAAATATACGTAAAATTAAAGTCGAACGAAGACGTCTATCGATAGTTGCCCAGCTGATTGGAAGTTTATTTATGGTCAAAATATTGCTATCAGCGGAATTTCATTTGAATTTCATTAGATTAGTCATGTACGTCGTGGGCCAAAGTCTTTAGGTTCTTATCTTTATAAACGATTGCGCTGCCGTGATTTGTTCTTTCCGTTTCAATTTCCTTTCGCGAAGTGCTCCCAAGAACACGTGCTATATAACGTCGCTCCCCCGCGAATTTTTATTATTTATATTATTATTGGCATTTGGGATCCGGATTAACCCGATAACGAGATACCCAAATAATAATAATCAAAAGGCAGCCGGTTGTTAATGGATTTTCTGTTTACGCTTCGGCACAGCGAAACTATCTAAAAATCTAGTGATAAGGCGAAATCGCTAACCGGTGCACCGCGGTCCGTAATTCGTATTCCGTTTTTATTATTATACAGTAAGTCATGCCCGCGAACGGAATGGATATTCCCGTGCTAAAGACCAATGGTCATGAGAGGCTAACTTCGCTGGACAAAGGTATGCCACCGGCATCACCCACTCTACCGAGTCCCACTATCCGGAGGAACAAAAGTGATGGAAAACTGATGGCCCAAGATGTGAAGGAGGCCCGGGTGAAAGTCATCTATACGGGTGGAACTATAGGAATGGTGCGAAACGATCGGAATGGTAAATAGACTGTGAAAGTTTAAAGTTTTTGGCATTTAATAGGGACTAAGTTAGGTTCAAAATCATCAGAACTTAAATTCCAATAACAAACTAAAATGATGATGCAAGTTTTATTCATGTTGTATATTATAAATTCAATTCATACTTATTACTTAATATATCAAATACTATTTTCATATGATAGTTACCTCATAAAGCTTAGGTCCGGAAACCCCAAATCTAACTAGTTATCATATAATATGATATATTGTCTGTTTATAACCAAGGAGAGTCCCAAAAATATACCCAGATAAGATACATGATACAACATTTTTGCAATGCACCTAAAGAATAGGTTTGTATGACAATTAATATGAGGAAACAGATAAGTTATAAGCTATAGATAAGTCAGTATGTATTTAAAAAAGGTATCACAGACGTAGATATTTCCCACGATGAGTGTTATTTTCAAAAAGCCACTCTGGAAAATAAAGCTGTAAACAACTAATATTGACTTGTAGTATTTACTCATTGGGTATTACGTATTCTACAATCAGAACTTAACAAAAAATATATAAAATAAGCACACGAGGCGTGAAAATCAATTACTCTGATTTATAGATTAATTAGCGATCAAGTTTAGTTTAAATAATATTTATTGATTGACAACAAAAGCGTGCGTAAGCTTTAAGTAGTTGACTTTAATGCAGAAAAAACATGTTTTATAGATCAACAACTATGAAAATTAATGCACATTTAACCAATGTTTGTTATATTATAGTGCTGGCTCCCATTCCCAATGCTCTGGTGCGCAGTATTCGCAAATATCCAAACATCCACGACGAAGAGTATGCGTTACGTCGCTTTGGAGCATCTGCGTCGATGGCTCCACTGGTTCTGCCCTTCGTACAGGGTGTGGATCGTAGGATTATCTATCAGATCACGGAATATACACCGCTGCTAGACAGCAGTAATATGACGATGAACGATTGGGCGAGGATAGCCAGCGATATCCAGGTGCAAATTCTAGTTCCCTAAAATTATAGCTATTCTTAATATATTTATTATTTACAGCAATCCTACGAGTTTTTTGATGGATTTGTAGTGCTCCATGGCACCGACACACTATCCTACACAGCATCTGCATTGTCCTTTATGCTGGAGAATCTGGGAAAGACGGTGATCATTACGGGCTCCCAAATCCCTATTTTCGAGACGCGAACCGATGGCAAAGACAATTTCACATCTGCATTGATTATAGCTGGAAACTACATCATTCCGGAGGTTTGCATCTTCTTTGGACACAAGTTAATGCGTGGCAATCGAACGGTTAAGGTCAGTTCGAATGCCTTGGATGCCTTCGATTCACCAAATGTACCACCACTGGCGAGGATCGGCATCGATGTGAATGTGGATTATCGTCTGATCTTCCGACCTTGCAGTATTGAAAGGTTTTGTGTGCATCTAAACCTGGACGAAAATGTGGGTTTGTTGCGCATCTTTCCGAGCATTTCACACTCCACATTTCGAGCATTCTTGGCTCCACCAATTCGCGGTGTAGTCCTGCAATCTTTTGGATCAGGAAATATCCCATCAAATCGAAAGGATATAATCGATGAACTAAAAACGGCCGCCGAACGGGGCGTGATCATCATCAATTGTACGCAGTGTCCCAATGGAACCGTGGCGGAGATCTATGATACGGGAAAAGTTCTCTGCGATGTGGGTGTGATTCCTGGCTACGATATGACCCCAGAGGCGGCGCTATCCAAACTCGCCTATGTCATTGGCAAAGAGGAGTGGTCATTGGAAGTCAAAAAACAGGTAAATTTGTGTTATTTAACTGTGTGTTCCTAATTTCATCCTAAATTATTTCCTTTTAGATGATGCAGTCAAACTTGAGAGGTGAACTTACCTCCGTTAAGGCTCCGAAGATGGAGGACTACGATCTGGTAGATGCGGTGGCTCGATCACTGCACTTATCTTCGCCCCAAGAACTCGATCAGCTGGGCGAAACCCTCTTTCCGGCGATGATAAACGCCGCTGTGGCCGAAGGTGATCTTAAGAAGATAAACAACTTGAAAGCCTATGGTGCCGATTTATCTGGAACGAATCATGACCAGCGGACTGCATTACATTTGGCCTGTCAACTGGGGAACGTTGAGATCGTTAAGTACCTGCTGCAGAATGGTGTATCCGTGCATGTGAGAGATCGCTATGATCGAACTCCTTTGTTGGAGGCCGTGTCCAACGATAGCCATGAGATCATCCAGCTGCTTATTAATTGTGGTGCCCATTTGACGGGATCTTCGCGTGCTGTCGGCGAGCAACTATGTGCAGCAGCTGCTCGAGGATCAATAGTGCGATTGAAATCCTATCAATATGCCGGTGCCGATCTTGCCCAGACGGATCCTTCCGGCAGAACAGCTCTGCATGTAGCAGCACTTCATGGTCATCCGGAGGTAGTGCAATATGTTCTGCCATATTTTGAGAACCCCAACGAGAAGGACATGCTTGGTCTGACCGCCTTCGATTATGCGGAGCGCGGTGGACATGCGGCAGTTATAGAGTCTTTAAAAAGACCCGAATAACTTAAGGGAACTTCCCATAGAAATCTCTTCCGAACTATAACTCAAATTGTTCCTTAACCATCCCGAGATTCGATATTTTGTACTTAAGTTTTGCATCTAGTCTAATGGTTCCTTAATATATATTTTGTAAAGCTTACATAGTTCATTGTATATTTAACCTAATGCAGTTGAAAGTTCTTTGCTATTGAATGCATTTAACCAGTTGGTTTTTTATGTTTAAATATGTCTAAATTGTATCCCTTACTTGACCTTATTGTAATAATTTTATATATTTATGAAATGAAATAATAATATTAGTTAAATTCAATTGTTTTTGTTTGTACTTAATGAAATAATAATTTTAAAAATGTAACATCGAAAACTCTTATGTAAAAGTAAAAGAGAAAAAGTGCACATAAATATTGATATTTGAATATTTAATTGTTAACAGTTTTTTTTTGACCATATACGATTATATAAAATATATAAAGATTAAAAACTATATTTTTAAATTTCGTGATGTAAATATAATAAACAATTGAAATTAAATAAATAAACAACAAACAAATAAATATTTGAAAGCTTATAAATTTTCAATTGATTAAATCTTAAATCGATATTAGCAGTTACAATTGTTATCGAACCATTTAGCATTCGATAACTTGACAGGGCTGAATGACCCAATTTAGTTGTTGCGCAGCCCTGGTTCTGCATTGTTTTTACGCTGGCATTAATTAGAATTGGTAAATATACGTTTGGCAACGTAATTATATTGAAGTTTATACGTTGCTATTGAGTTGCCAGTGACATAAAACTCGAAATCCAATAGAAAAGTTGCCAAAAAACCACTCAAAAACAGCAAAAAAACACACGCACGCACACAGTGATAGACGCAACCACACACACATTTAAAAAGGTGCACACGTCAGTGCCACGAATTCCATTAAAAAAAAAACAATACGAAACCCAAACTTAAAGCTAAAGACAATCCCGATCCAATCGGAAGAGGAAGATATATGTATGCTAGATATATATGGTTAAACATCTTTCGTTCCAGTCAATGTCGATAGCTAGCGCTGCGCAGCCACCGTGGATATATAATCGGTCCTTCAGATAGCCAGTCCGCATATATATTCCCGATTTCCCGATTTGTGTTTTTGTTTGTTTCTCTCCTCTTTTTGTTTTTTTTTTTTGTTGGTTTGTTTACCTCCTGCCCCGGTAACTAGGATAGTTAGTAATATTTTGTAATTGAAACGACAATGGCGGATGATTCGGCTTCTTTGGAGAGTTCCTACGATTTCTCCATCGTTCAGGTGGGTTTCACTTGGTTTTCCTTATGGAGTTGGTATATGTAGTGACCATGATCTTTCTAATCCACAGCCCAATGATCACGAATATAGTGAGGCGGATATACGCTTGACGGGCAGCTCAAACGATCTGTCATTGTTACAGGTGAGTAAATCCTAATGAAAGCCAGGATTTTCAAAAGGAAAAGCTATTTCTGTTTTTTATGTAAAAACCTTAAGCTCCTAAGAGTAACTTGTAAAATATGTATCTTTATCTTTTAGAATGTATCCGCTAGCACAACGAGAGGCACCGAAGGCAAGGGCCGTTTGGACAGCCTTAAAGAGAATCTGTACAAGCAGCAGGTAAGTTAACGAAACTAAAACTCCACAATCCTAACATCAAATTAACACTTAAAACCCGTGCTTTCAGGAACGCCTTACTGCCTTAAAAGAACGCGCGTTAAGGAAATCCCAGGATGGTCGACGCAAGTCCAGCATGAGTGACTCCATGGAGTCGCTGAAGACACTGGGACAGAAGCTTACCGTGCTGAAGACGCGTGCAGGCGACTCCTCCACTCCACTGGTAACGCCCACAAAGGATAGTGCGCCGGGGGATGTGTCGCTACTGCAAACTAGCGGCAATGAGAAGCTACTGATGCTAACCCAGCGCACGGAACAGAATCGTGCTTTATTGGAGCAGCGCAAAAGGGATCTGGCTAAATCCCTACTCTCCGTTAAGTCGAATATTGGCCATCAAAGTACCGCTGAGTTGGGCTCTTCCATGACGGATCTGCGGCAGGCGGCGTCTGCAGCCAATCCGCCCGTATCCCGACACCGTTCCGCCTTGGATTTGGAAGCACAGGGTCAAGAGCCGCTAGACGACAGTCGAGTGAAGTTGCTCAGGAATCGCATGAAGCTGACGGAAATTAAGCAGGGCCGTCAGGAGCAGGAGTTGCAAGAATTGCGCACGGAACTAGCCAAACGCGCTAATCTCATCGAGCAATTGGAGTTATCCGGTGCGGAATTGCAACGAACGCTCACTCAGCGAAATGAGGAATTGGAGCAATTGCGACTAGGCCAAATAAAAGCAGAAGTAGAGAAAAGTGAAGAGAAGAAAGAGGAGTATGAGGAGCAGGAGGGGGAAAGCCTGCAGGAGCAGGAGCATTCCCGCCTCCAGGGAGAGGTTATAGTCCTAAGAGAACGACTGGCAGAGCTGGAAAGCATTAACGATCTGCTAGAGACGACCCGCTGTGAACTCCAAGAAGAGCTGACCACGGCACGCGAACGAGAAAGGCAACGAGACTTGGAGTTAGAACAGGAGCAGGAGAAGTCTTCCAGTAGTCCACAGTCTGAGGCAGCATCCACCGATGCCCAGGTGAGCGTCGAGCTGGCCAAACAACTCCAGGAGCTTACCAATCAGCTGTCGGAACTGCAGGCCACCAACGAGGAGCTGCGTCAACAGTTAGCAGACCAAACGAAGCTCCAGGTGAGCGACGAGAGTGTTTCCCAGCGTCTTAAGGAACTAGAAGCCACTATAGCAGCACAATCTAAGCAGCTGGAGGAGCAGAAGTCAGCAATGTCTGCTCAAAGTGAAGAACTCGCCGAAAAGACCACGGAACTCAATGTGCTTAATGTAAATCTGCGTGTCCTAGAGGAGAAACTTGCCCAAAGCAGTCGCAGTAAACCTCTATTCCTGGACGACCATCTGGAGGACAGTGAGGCCAGCAAGCAGCTGCAGGTGGAACTACAGCAGTTGAAGCAGAAGCTAGACGAATCCAACAAGGCCAACATCAAACTAAAACTGAAGTGCAAGCAGACAGAGAAGCAGCTTCAAAAACTTCAGTCTCAGGATGGCCAACAACAGTTGGCTACGCTGGCAGCAGAAAACGAGCTGTTGCAGGAAAGGATCACGGTCCTTGAAGACGAGAAGGGCCAATGGCAGTTGGCGAACATGCAGGAGGAGGATCGCCAACCAGAGCAATCTCCGGAATCCAATCCCCTTCAGCTGGAAGCCATCCGACTGCTTGAAGAGCAGAAATTAGAATTGCAGCAAGCCCTGGAGGCATTGCAGCAAGGTCACGAATCTGCCCGTGTCGAGTCCGAGCTGAGTGAAGCCCAGATGGAGGAGCAACTTACCCAACGAGTTCAGCAACTCGAGCAGGAAGCCCACGAGCAGCGTCAGCAACTGGACACCCTGCAAACCGAAAAGGAAACGCTAGACAAGAAGCTGACGCACTACATCAACGAGAACATGGAGCTTCTAGACAAGCTGGAAAAGCTTAGTTCATCCAGTTCGGCGGAATCCATCGAAATAGTGGAACGCCAGCAACTGGAGTGCTTTGGCCAAAGACGTCCGGCTAGCGAGGGCGATGCCCAGGAGCAGAAGCAAGTAGATCCACCAGTTCCCAGTCATGTGAGCGAGCTCACACAAACGGATGAAACGGAAGAAGAAGATACTTCTGGCGAGAGTCTGGCCCAGCTAAGAGATCGTCTCGAACTGTTTACCCAGGAACGTGGCGAGGTACTGGACAAACTGGAGCAATTGTCGGCGGAGAATTTGCAACTCCAGGCTAGGCTAGACGAGAGTTCCACTTCCCTGCAGTTGTTGCAGCGTGAACGTGAAAAGGATCTACTCTCCTCCACCTCCACTTCGTCTAATCTCTCACAAGAACTCAGCTCAATGCAGCGATCCTCAGAAGTGGTGGCCACTTTGGATGCTGGCGAGGGAGGCCCTGTGCTGTTCGAGAAGTGTGAGAATTCTCTCAGCAAACTCAACTCCGAATTGGAGGCCTATCGCAAAGCCAACGATAAACAGGCCAAGTTCAATGTGTCTAAGAAACTGGCCAAGGAGGCCAAGAACTGTCACACCCAGTTGAGTGAGCTTCTGCAGAAGGTGAAAGAAGCCAGCACGGCGGTGGAAACTGTAACCGTTGTCGAGACTGTGGTGGCCGTCACGGCACCTAATGGCAAGGCTCTGGCGGAATACGAGCAACTTAATGCCCAGAATGCAGAACTCAAGGCAGTTATCTCTCGTTTACGCCAGGAATTGGATGAATTGAGGGATAGCTATCCTGAAACGGAAGCGCCATTGGCCATAGTCGGTTCTGACTCCCAGAAAGAAGAAGAGTTCCTGCAATTGCAATCGCTGCTGGAGGACGCACGGTCTTCGCAGGTCGAGCTACGGCAGCAGATCGAGGAGCAACTTGAGCAAATCAGGGAACTGCGTCAAAACGAAGCGGATCAGTTGCAACTGATAGCCCGGCAGAGTGCCGAGATCACACAACTCCAGTTGCAGGCAGAACAATTCGATCAGCTGCTAAACTCCAAGGAAATGAGCCATGAAAAGCAAGTGGAACAGCAGACAAGAATTCGACGAGAGCTGGAGGCACGTAGCGAATCCCTGGAAGGTGAACTAAGCATTCTTCAGGCTCTAGTGGCTGAGCAGAAGCAGCAACTCATCGAAAACCTCAGCGAAAGTGAGCACACTCTTAACCTTAAGATGCTAGAACTCCAGTCCGCCCAAGAGGAGCTGCAGGAATTTAGGTCCAAAGAGGATCCGGATCAACTGAGGGAGGCTCTGCGAATTAGCAAAAGCCTGGCTGCCCAGCAGGTCAGTGAATTGGCCTCCAGCCAGGAGACCATCGATGCCTTGAATCAGCAAATCCAGGAGTTGTACCAAGGAGTTGAACAAGTTCGCCAGGAAGAGCAGCTCAAGAGCCGAGAACTTCGTGAGAAGCTCAAGAAATATGCCCTTAATCTCAAGAAACGCACGCAGGACAATACTGATCTTGAGCAGAAGGTTCAGGAGCTGACTAATCAACTACAAGAGCTACAGGAAGAGGTAAAGCAAAAAGTGGAAGTGGAACGTGAAACCATTGTAGATACCCAACAAGTGGAGCAGTTACAGCAACAGGTCATCAAACTTAACGAAGATCTCAAGGCCAAGATCCATGTCAATCTGGAAAATCGTGATTCCCTTCGTCAACTGAAACAGCAAATCCAAGAGCAAGAGCAACTTATCCAAGAACGCGATGCGGAGCTTCAAGATGCTAGTCTGGTGAACAAGGAGTTGCGACGTGAGCGCCAAGAAGCCGAGCAAGAAGTCTTCCAACAGGGTCAGGAGAATTCTAGGCTCAAGCAAGAAATCAAACAGCTGCGGGAGGACATCCATAGTCTCGAAAAGAAACTAAGCGAAGAGCCAACGGCTATCGAAGATTTGCGTCGTCAGTTAGAGCAAAAATCCAAGAAATTCGAAAAGTCCAAGGAGTTAATAAAGCATCGCAATGCCACTATTCAAGCGCTGCAACGCGAACTGCAAGAACTACAGCAGGATCAGGACAGCGAAGTGAAACATGGTCGTAGCAAACGGTCTATTCAAGAGCAACAGCATCAGGAGAAGGATGAGGAGGTGGGCAATCAGTTTCTAAGCAAAATAATATTTGAAATTAATTTTTGAATATCCCCCAAAACATAGATTGCTGCTCTTCGTCAAGAGATTGCCCAGTTGGAGAGTCAGAGGATTAGTGTTGGTGATGGCGCCATTACCAAGACCTCACAACAACCATTGGAATCCCATTTGGTAAGTTCAATTTTGAATGTTTATACATTTTTCCTGTAAAATATTATTTTCTAAATTTGTTTAACTACAGCAAGCGGAATCTCTGCGAGAGGCAGAGCGAGAACAGCAACACCTTCGTGTCCAACTGACAGCGGCCCAGGAGCAGCACTCCCTACTTGCGCAGCAGTATGCCAGCGATAAGGCCAATTTCGAGATAACTATATCCCGTCTGGAAACCATTCATGAGGGCATTCAAGCCAAGCTACAGGAGGATGCCTCCTACATTGAGTCGCTTGAGACGCAGAACTCTGAGTTACAAGCAAAGACCGCTGCTCTTGAGGAGCAAGCCGCCAGCCAGGCCAATCAGCAAGCGGCAGCTCATGATCACACGCAAATATTGGAGCAACAGCTGCAGGAACAACGCGAGCAGGAGCAGGAACAGCGCCGGCAAGATCAGCAGTTGCAGGAGCGACTATATGAGTTAGGACATAAAGAACAGGCTCAAAGTCGGCAACTAGAATTGATCACCGGCGAAGCAGAGGAGTCCAGGCAACAGCTGGCCATTCTGCGAGCGGATTACGAATCCTTGCTGGCCAAGCATGCACAGCTAACAGCCGACGCCCAAGCTGAACGTGAACAACTTAGCAGCCACAGTAAGGAGGAGCTGGACGAACTTCACCAAGAACTGGTTGCCAAGGATGCGGAACTGCAGCGTCAGCGACAGGTTTATGATGCCAAGTTGGCCGCTAAGACCACGGAAATCGATGAGCTGGAGTGTGACCTTAATAGCCATGTGGAACGAGCAGCTGCCGAGACAAGAGATCTTGCCCAGCAAGTGGAGCGATCACAGGAGTTGGTAAACCAACGCACAGAGGAACTGCAGCGACTCAACGAGGAGTACCAGGAGGTAGAACGCGAGAGATCTACTTTGAGTCGAGAAGTTACTCTGCTACGTTTGCAGCACGACAGTGCCGAGCAGGATGTGTTGGAGCTCCAGGAGCTGCGCATGCAGGCCATGCAGGACAAGACCGAAATGGACAATCTGCGCACCCAGATAGATGCCCTCTGTGCCAATCACAGCCAGGAGTTGCAAGCATTGCAGCAGCAAATCGCCGAATTGGACACTCTGGGTCAAAATCAAACGGACGATCAGGTCTACATTGAAACAGAGAACAAGCGGTTGGCAGAGCAACTAAGCGAACTGCAGGCCCAGCTGGCCAGACAGCAGCAGCATCATCCTATTGCCCAATCTCAGCAGCATCCTCCACCGGCTTCCCTCTTCTTTGGCGGCGATGCTTTAGCCGCTCCCTCGCCTTTCGATGAGATTGCCCAGCCGTTAAGAGTTTCATCTCTGTCGGCAAATGATCCGGCGCATATTCATCCACCACCTACTATCGAGGATCTTCAGCGAAATGTCTCTGATCTGGAAAAGCATGCCCAGGATCTGGAAACGAAGTTGCTGGCGCGCAATCAGAGTTTGTCGGAGCAGGAGGAGCGCCGTTTGCAAATGGAACAACATATTCTGGAATTGGAGCGCCTGCTGAGAGAACGGGATCAGCAGTTAGCCGAGACTAAAGCGGCCAACGAAGAACGCGAACGATTGACTGCGCTGGAGAAGCTCATCCAACCCGCGGCAGCTCCCACATTGGACATGTTCTTTGGGGTACAAACCGGGGAAACAGTGCCCGATGCAGTTAGTCATCATTTGGATTTGGGTCTGCCTCAAACCGAGCCAGTAGAGGAACCTCTAATTCAGCCCAAAAAAGCGTACTTATGCCAGCCGAAGCAGGAGCCCCAAGAGCAGACTACTCAATCCATTGATTGGGGTGTGGACGAGGATCTATGGGCAAGTGCAGCCACTGATGCGCCACAAACCGATGTGGAACCCCTGCAAACGAGAATCACCCAACTAGAAATGCAGTTGGCGAATTCGGAGCAGCAAAAAACCGAACTCCAGACAAAGGCAGCCAAGCTAATGAAGCGTCTAAAGGAATACAAAACGAAGGCAACGACAACAGCCACACCCACTGTTACAGTGGACAACGATCTTGATTCGGCCATTATTGAGGAACTGAAACACCAGCTACAATTGCAGGAATCCCGGCAATCTAAAGCAGAAGAACTCACACAGCAGCACGCTCTGGAAAAAGAGAAGCTAATGAAGCGCATCGATGTTCTGACTGCAGGCAACGAACGTATGGCGGAGCTAAAGGAGCGCCAGGATATGGATGTGCAGATGTATCAGGCCCGCATCCGGGAGCTCCAGGAAAAGCTTAGCCAACTGGATCAATGGGATGTTCCCACTGCTCCTGCTTCTTCTGCTCCACTTGCTGCTGCTGCTGTCCCTTCCTCTTTAAGCGGTGATGAAGTGGCAAAGATTGAGAACCTGCAAGCAGAAAACCAAGATCTAAATACTGAGTGCCAGGAACTCCAGGAAAAACTGAAGGAGGAGCGACGTTTTGTTCAAATGGCCGAGGAAACAGCTGCTCAGGTCCAGGCCCAAAATGAAACCCTTCAGGAGCAATTAAAGGAGCGTCTGCAGGAGGTAGAAGAGTTGAGACAGAGTCAGGTCAATGTTGAAGAGTTACAGGCTCTGAAATTGGAGGTGGAGTCTCTCAGGCAGCTACAGGGCGAAGTAGTTCAGCTGAGAAGCCTCCAGTCCGAGGTGGAACACTTAAGGAGCCTCCAGGCCGAACTTGAGCACTTAAGAAGCATCCAGCCTGAATTGGCGAATTTGAGGAGCCTCCAGCCTGAAGTGGAGCATTTGAGGAGCCTTCAACCTGAACTGGAACACTTAAGAAGCCTTCAACCCGAACTTGAGACCTTAAGAACCTTCAAGTTGCAGCAGGAGCATTTACAAAGTCAGGCAATTCAAGAAGACCATCTGGAGTTCCAAAAAATAGAACAGGAACACCTGAGGAACCTCCAGGGCGAAGTAGAGCAGCTGAGACACCTGCAAACGGAAGTGAATCAACTTAGAAACCTTCAACCAGAATTGGAACATCTGAGATCCGTTAAACTGCAGCAAGACAACCAGCAACAGGAGCTCCAGCAACTGCGTCAGCAACTAATCGAACTGGAATCATTACGCACACAGGACCTAGCCGAATTGCAGGCACTGCGTCAGAGTAGCCAAAGTCACGAATCCCCGGTGGATGTTGACTCTAGGAGTGATGAGCAGATGGCCCAATTGCAGGAGAAGGAAGCAGAGATTGTGCATTTGAAGCAACGCATCGAAGAGCTGATGCGCGAGGACCAAACAGAAAAACTTGTCTTCGAGATCCTAACCAAAAACCAGGAGCTGCATTCACTGCGCATGCAGGTTAAGCAATTGGAGGAGGATAGAGAGGATCACAATGTGTCCGCTGTCCCTTCAACAGCCGATGGAGAATCCGTGGAACAGCTTCGTGTTCAGTGCCAACAGCTTCAGCAAGATAAAGCAGATATGGAGGAAGAGCTGCGCGTGCTCAACAACCATGTTCTCAGCAGCTTGGAGCAGGAGGATAAAATAAAGCAGACGCTGCTCCAGCTGGACACTAAAAACATTGAGATCACCGAATTGCGCCGCTCTCTGGAAGTCCTGCAATCCCAAAATCAAGGCCAGAATTCTGCGTCACAGCAAATTCCTGATCTAACGGCCATTAATCAGCAGTGGGAACAGTTGGTGGAGCAAAAGTGCGGCGAGGTGGCCAGCATTTGGCAAGAACATCTAGCTCAACGAGAGGCTGCCTTCAAGGCGCAGTTGGAGGAAATTACCCAACAGCAGCAGAAGGAACAGCCTCTGGGTCAGCAATCTATGCAGCAAGGTGAAGTCTCCAGCGACATAATGATAAAGATGCAAAAGGCATTGGAAACGCAGGAAATGGAGATTGTGACGCTAAAAGAGCAGCTGGCCATTCGTTCGGCTGAGTATGCTCGTCTAGCCGCCCAATACGATCCCTTCCGGCTGCAGAACCGTGGAGGATCTGGTGGTAATCAGTCTTCGGTTGCCATCTCAGCTGGTGGACCACCACCATTAACTGCAAACGAACCACTGCCCGAGTATGTGCTCAAAGCTGATCTGGACTATGCACTAATGATGCTTCACCAACGGGACATGCGTGTCGAGGAGATGATCGTGGAACTCGTACAACTGCTCGAGGAACGTGACCACCTGCAGCTGAAGTTATCGGACACGCTGCGCCAGTTGGAAACCGAGAGGAGTCGCGTCAGCGATGAACGTGAGTTTAAATCAGTTTCTGGTTAAATTAATATTTAATTAATCATTAATATTATGATTATAATCGCATTATATAGCAGCCTGTGCCACAGCATCTTCATCAGCTGCCTCGGGCAGCAGTCCCAGCAAAACCAGCAGCGCCGGCAGCAGCAGCGAGCTCCTGGGAACCACAGCCAGTGCAGCCGGCAGTGACCTCAAGCAGAAGTGGGTGGACTTATAGCTCCAAAGATTACAGAATACAGCTTGATTTTTAATTTTCAGGCTCGCTGAGCTGCAGACGGTGAAGCATTCCAAGGACAAGGCTATCGTTGACGAGCGAGAGCAGCGATTGCAGCAGATGCTCCAGTTGCAAAAAGACATGGCCAAGCAGGGATCTGGATCCCAAACAGGATCAGTAGCAACAGCAACGACAACAGCAGCAGCACCGGCACCTATTGGCGTGGATCTCTGTGAGTGAAAAAGCTTAGTAAAACCTATAGATCCCCTAATTCAAATCCAAAATTTACAGCTCAATCAGGTCTGCGCTCGCCATCGATGATGCTGATGGATTGGATAATGGGCAATAACAACAAGGAAGATGAGGCGGGCAACCAGATATCTGGCTAACCCATTACCATTTCCCGGCGAGAACGATGACTACTAACAACCCCAATAACCGTGGACTCCTACGCTCCTAGCACTTTAATTACGAATCATAAACTTTAACTTTAATTCTGGCCTTCCTTGCGCGGACAATGGCGAATTAGCATTAAAGTTCTTTATACGATATTATGTACCTTGGCTAGCTGAAAGGCTCTGCCGAATTCCCGATTTGTTCCAAACGCGTACGTTTTATGTTGTAGATATGTAAAAAAAAATGTATAAAACTAAACGAAATGAAACAAAGCTGAAGAAAAAAGATGAAAATTTAAGAATTAAACCAAAATGTAAAAAAAAAAAAACAGAAATGTGTTCTTAAATGATTTACTTTTCAGATCAGAATCTGAATATATAACTATAATCACCAAAACCATTATCCAACCATCGCGTTTGTTTTTCGTTTTATTTAAATTTATTCAAATGATATTTCATGTTTAATTAACAATGTTTCATTTTATTTTTCCTTTGAGAAAAAAACACTTAGTTTTTAAGATTCATGCTGTAAATATTATAATTGTTGGTTTTCTTGTTTGTGTTGTGATCTCCTGCCTCTCCCGATCGAGCTCCTACATCGTCTGTGTGACATCCTATATCTTTCTTTTATTTTTCGGCTACTTTGCGAGGAGACTTTTTGGGCTGTGTGTGTGTGTGTGTGTGTATGTTGGTTGATTTCAATTAAATAACGCAATTGAATGTTTTTAATGTATCGAAACAATTGTATGTTAAGTTCCGTTTCCACATTTTATTATTATTATTATTATTATTATTATTATGTTCATATATATTGTTTTTTGTTTTCTTTTTGCTACAGCTGACATCAAGTACATTTTGCTTATGATTTGCTTGACTTTTTCATTTAATTTTTATTTCCACTTTTCTTTTTAATTATTATTAGTTTCCATTTTGTATTTCTAGTTTAAACATTTAAATACGAGTTTCCACATGCCTATGAAAATACAGCGATCATGCATGTCGGCGAATATATATTCTTGTATAAATCTATATACCCTTTTTTCAATGCTTTGCAAACTATATAAAAAAAAGTCGTAACCACACAAACAATTGCAATGAAATATGTGAGGGTGGGGGGCAGCGTAGGTGTTTTTGTGATAAAAAATTATGTTGGTAAAACAATTTGCAACGCCAGTTAAGTTACCCGGTTTGTACAAGTCGAAAGCGAGTAAATAGAAGGCGGTACGGAAGGAACCAAGTGGGTGTGGTGGATCTATAGATCCATGGCTATAGTGTAAACCATTAACAATACGTGTGTGTGTGTGTGTGTGTCGCTTGTGTCAAATGTTCTCTTTAAAAAGTTGATTGATTTTGCTGCACTTATTAGATCATATATATATATATATCGTTTCAGATATAGTTAATGTATTTTCTCAATTTTCGCTGCTAATTAGGCTGGAGAATTTATTTCAATTCGGCCTTGGCAAACAACACAAATTACATAAATGTTTGCTTATTAGAAATTTATATTCGTATAATATATATAATATAGCGATCATTGAGTGATGTGTATGTGTGTGAATGGTGTAGGTGTAATTTAACCACTGAAATGACTAAAACAAACAGAACTTAGTAAATGCTAATGCCAACCAAAAACAATAATGATTCTATATAATTATATATATATATATAGGGTTCCGTACATTCGATCTCTTATTGGGGATTTAGAGAGGTACAGACAGACAGTGTGAAAGAGAGATAGGACGAGGGATGAAGCAACTTTTCTTTTAGAGAGCGTCGGCCTTGCAGAGCATTTTCTTTTTTATTATTTTAAATTTTTCTTGAAGCATTTTCATTGATTGGTTTTCCATACAAGTGTTTTCCTTATTTTTCTTTCATTTTGCATTTTGCTCAAGGTTTTTTTTTTCTTGACATTTGGTTTTCTTTTCTTTCGATTTAACTTTTACATCTAGATTTATGTGGTTGCATAAAAAGAAAAATAAAAATAATTAAAAAAAAAAAAAAAAAAACGCATTTTTAAAACTGAAATTTATTCTCGTACTCAAGTAACAATTTTGTTGTTTTATGTTATCATCGAAAAGGTAATGACTAATTCAATTAAATGATAATTTTGGTTATTCTTTGAAATACTCTTCACTCTTTCCGTTTAAAAATGCATCGAAAATTATTAAAACTGAAGTGTTGTGAAGCTTCTTTAAACTTAATAGCTTACAAATTAATAATAATAGCGAAAAAAAAATGCAATCGAAAATCTGAGCAAATATACGTAGTATGGGATCTTAATAGATGTCGTTTTTTTTGCTTTTAAATATTTCTTCAGAGATTTTCCCGTTTCCCGCGAAAAAACGATTTTAACGTGTCTTTCCGTTCTCTGCTCTTTTTTTTTTGCCTTGTCAGCTTTTTTCTTTTCGTCTCTATGAGTTGCTCCTTTTGCCGATTATGAATTTGAATGCTTCTGCTGCTGCTGCTGCTGTTGTGGTTCTTTCGTTGTGGTTGCTGTTGTTGTTGCTAGTTAGTTGCTGCTGCTGCTGTTGCTGTTTGATGGTGTTGCCGCTGTATTTGCTGTTGATGCTGATGCGGCTGCACGTTGCATGTAGCATGTTGCTGGCGTTCGTTTATGGCATTCAGAGAAAGAATTTTCCCAGCAGGAGGCTAACGATAGCCGCAGCAACGGCAATTGCAATGTAAAAGACCGGAATCTGCTTCTCAACCAGAATTGGGGCATAGGGCTCGTTTACCTGTTTGACGGCCGGCGAGCTGCGGTAACGTGTGATTTGATCCTGTAAAAAGAAGAGATGAAAATAGGTTAGTAAGTTTGCTGCTGAAGCTTTAAGGTACTTCTTATTATATTCTTTTAGTTTGTTCATCTTATACTAAACAAGCTAAATATAAAATGTAGTTCTTTTGTCTACCGTGTTATTATATCTATATACATTATAGCCACAGCTTGGTAGAACTCATAACTCATATGGTACTGAGTCATGAAGGCAGTTAAGTTTATAAGTAACCAGATAAGTAAAGAAATCCATTGGCGGAATGATGAAATAAATAAATAAAAATATTTAAAAATGACTCATCTGAAAACCAAACATCATCAAAAAGTTATTTTAAACAAGACCATTAACACACTTGATATATATAAACACCAATAACTGATAAGATCTAGTTATAGACATACCTTCAAGTGAAGATTTTCTTTTCGCAGTTCGCTGATTGATTCACGCAGTGCCTTATTCTCTCCGGCTATCTCCAGATAATCTGCCGGATCGGGCAAGTTTGAGGGCTAAAATGTGTGTAATTAACACTCATTATTTATGATACTATTATAAGAGTGTGTCAAGTTCAAGTTAACTCACCTTATCCTCGCTGGAAAGCTTCGGCTTGCCTTCGACCGCCTCGGCGCTGGCTGAACTAGTGTTGACGCCCACACTTCCGCCTCCGGCACTTCCGCTTGAAACGCCGATGGCTCCGCCACCGCTGGTATTCTCCGAATTCGCTTCAGCGCTGGGCAACTCGAACACACACTTCAGTTTAGCGTCCATCAGCTGATCCGGCTCCAAATCCTTCCACTGCAGAATAAAAAATAAATAAACAATTTATTAGAAAACTAGAAATACTCCGCTTACTGCTAAAAATTTTCCTAGCAACAGAATATCTTTAAACTAACAAAGTGATCCTGAGTATTTGAGGTAAGTTCTAATAGCAATAAACAATTGTTTATATTCTAATTAAACTACTTTAGTTGAGTCATTAAAATTTATTTTATAAACCTTATCTTTACCCAAGTACACTTGATTGGGTGACAAACAAATCATTATATTATTGCAGCTATTACAATTTGAAGAGCTCATTATAATGACATTAATAGTGTTAAAATGACGACATAAATATTATAGAAAGTGATTTCTAATAATAAACAGTCAATAACATAAAATTAACTTTCCTACTTCTCAATAGTTTTTCTGTTTAGCCCTAACAGCTAATAAAATTTTGTTGATTCCCTTATTCCCTTACCAATTTATTCAAATCGGTCAGATCAGATTCCACGGGTACCATGATACTTTGCACCATAAACTTGTGCTTGTTCTTCTCCTGCTGATCGTAGATGAATGGCTGCAGACAGACTGTATATGGGAAACCAGATTAATTTAGTTAATAATTAGGGATCCTTAGGATTCTAGTAATACTCACTCTCCACCTGGGTCGTTCGATAGGGCGGGATCTTGCCAATATTTGGACGTACGCAGTAGCGCTTCGGGGCGGTTGTCTTGATCTTGAAGACCAGGGGCATACACGAGTTGTTGCGCAGAGTCATGATTGTGACAACGGGTCTATTGAAGGGACCTGTGATGTAATTAAAAAAAAAAGCATTTAATTATTCTATTCACACTGTAAATAATAATATGATATTAAAGAAATTATGGTTTTACAATTTTCAATATATTTTTTTGAGGATTTGAAATAGGGCTTATTGATTTAGCTAATCATATTGTGATCTTGAAATAAAACCAACATTATCTTACTTTTAAAAATAAGCCTGCAAGCATCGTTATCGCATTTTTTTATTGGATGCACTCGATTAGTCACACTCTATTGATGATAGGTCCCACCCATCGGAGAACACCCCAGTTTCGCACTTTCCCTGATTTTCTTTACTTTCCCGCTTTTTCCCACTCTCTCTGATATTTCTGTCACGTCACGCTCATTGCGTCATTGGCCGAAGCAAGTTCAAATTAATTGAATTAAAAGCAAAACAAAAGCGAGAACCTGTCACAAAAGCCGAAAAAATAGACAAACATTTTCGGGAGTCGCATTTGGATTACCCTTTTCAACGAAGTTCTTATGATTAAAGACGACATCTATGTACCTATTAAAATAAATAATAAACCTATAATTATATTTCAAAAAATTGTTTAAAAAAAACACAATTTAAAATATGAATAAGATCTTTTTGATATAAAATGTTTTTTTATTATTATGATTTTTAGATATGCAGAGTAACCAACTTATATTCCCATTAACCAAAATATAAATCGATCGTGAAGCCTTGACAAATTCCCAAAATACTATCTTTTTTTAAAATAAAAAAACAAAATGATTTAGTAACACGGATTTGTTTTTTTTTTTTTGTTTTTAACATGGCGTGTGCGTGTGTTTTGTTTTTGGGTGTGAGTGGGTTCTGCTTCAAGGAAATTTCATTAGACAAAGTCGCGTCATGCATGTGTTTTCCACCCTACGCCTCCCCCACCCTTCGCGATCTAACGGTAAATGTGGGGTATAAGGGGGTGGTGCAAAAGAATGGGGCTAAGGCTCACACACACTCACAAACACGCACATACAAATATTAAAATATTTGCGCACGGTGGGATGAAAGGCAAACAATTCATTAAAAACATTTTGGGAGGAAATATTTGGTATATTCATGTATTATTATTGATATCTTTGCTTAACATAAAATTGTTATCTTTTAAAATTTTGAGATAAAATTGTGTTACCCTAGAATATAATTTATATTCCCACTGTAACACACTTGCAATTGTTTCTAGCCTGCCCCGCCCACTGTGCGAGCTCCTCGCTGTCAAATTGCATTGTTGTTGCCGCTGCTGCTGTTGCTTTTTGGCCAAAATTCAAAGAGCAAAAGACAAGAAAAAATGAAAATGGCCCATGACAAGTTTTTGCGTATAAAAATAAAATGCTAGCCAAAAACGCAGGACGAGCGAGTGAGCGAGAAAGAGATAGGAATGTTAAGTGCAAGTGAGAAAGAGAGCGACGCCAGCTGCCGGCATCAAAAAAAGAATACAACAAATAAAATCAAATTAAATACTTTAAAGAGGAGCAGCGGAAAAAGAAGAAGAGCAGACGAAACACGTAAACCTTCATGAAAACAACAATTAAAGTTGTCCAAAAAATCGTACCAGAAATAACAACAAAAACAACGGAAATTATTGATAAGCGGAGAGAGAGATGGGCATAGAGCTCACAGAAAGGCAAAATGTAAATGTGTGCGTGAGAGAAAGAGGGACAGAGCGAACTTTGCAGTTTGCTCTTTGCAACAAATTGGAGGTGAATTGACTTTTTGGTCGATATGCAGCGACCTTCCCGCAAAAAACAACGCATAGTGTGTAAAATTCAGTTAACTGAATAAACTTACCAACAAAACGCAACTCATGTTCTGGGTCAATGGTCAACGGGGATTCAAAGACTGGTTTGCTCATTGTGGCGGCTGTTGTTGTTGTTTCTGCTGCTGCTGATGTTGTTGTTGTTGGGGATTTGTCTCTCTCCTTTTGGTGCCTCTCTTCTTGTAATATTATTTTTTGTGCGTCCTGTTTTTACCCAGTTATTTGTTGTTGTTCTTGGTTGCTGTTAAGGAAATGCACACGAAATTGTATTAAAATGCACAAAAACACTCATACAGAGAGACGATGCGAAACACAGACACACACTCACACACAGTTGTACAATATAAAAGGGATTTTTATTTTTTCGCTTACGTTTGCGTTTTTGCCCAATATTTCAACGAAACTGCTGTTTTTCTGCCTGTTTCGCTTCTTCTTCGTTTTGTTCGTCTCTCTTTTTTTTCTTTCGTTTCGTTTCGCCCGTTTCGCTCTCACAGGCAAAATATCGGTAAATTTATGCGACCACACACACACGCATGGACAAAAAAAATAAAGGAAGAGCGAGAGAGACAATCACACTCACACGCACGCACTGGCTTTTCTTGCAGAAAATGTCGAGAAAAAAAAAACTACGATCAACGTGTGCTTTCTTCACCAACTTTTAGCTGCTTATCTTTCGATTCGTAAGATTTTTGTGGTTTCTCACGCCTCGGGTTGTTCGAAAACTTCAGTTGCAAATGCGAAATGCAAAAAAGCCAGATATTCTGTCAGCAGAAAAACCGCTAGCTGAAAAACGCATGCGTCACTAGAGCTGGCAATAAATTAATCGAAACTGTTGGAATAGTATCGATAGATATGGGGCTTGGTGGAATCAGCTGTGCTGCCAGTGTGAACGCATGTCGTTTTCAAATATTATTTGGTTGAAATATACGTTACGTTTAAAATACAAAAAATTTAACTAAGGCTTGCCTAAACTATCCAGTTTATTTTGGTTTATTTATTTCAAAACTCTGTGAAATTAAACAATACAATATGTATATAATATTTATATATTTTCAGATTCATCCCTTTTCGTCATCCTTTTAAAGGATATTACAAGTATGAAAAATAATTTGATATTAAATTATTCTTGTGTTCCATGAGAATGTATAAGATAATACATTCCATCTTTTATATGTAGTCACAAAGTATAACGCCGCTTACAAATGCTCTAAATGTTAGACAAAGGGCGGCACATTGCTTTTGTTTAGTTATATTAAATTAAACGATGTTCTTGGTTTCCTTAGACTCTCGGTTCATCGTTTCTGGTTTGTTTTTGACAGCCGTAATGCGCAAACGCGTTGCGAACGCGCGATGAGCTTCATCCTTGATATATTCGCGAATCGAGATTGGAGCTTTGGCCACAACGGCCATCAAATGTTCCCAATGGAGGAGCCTCTTATTTGGTTTAAAAACTCTGACATGATGACGATAGGCGATCAAATATTTTCGGAAGAGGTATTTAAAGGCTTGCAAAGCAGACTGGCAGTTAGCCTCAACCACGGCATCGCTTAGTTCACCCATAAGAGAGCAGTCGGTGCGGCTTAACAGGACCTTGGCAAAAATACGAGTGGCCTCTAATCCACTGGCCTGTGTTATCAAACTAATGAATCGCCGGTTATAGGTGGAGCCCGTTTCTTCCAGGTTTACCACCCAAAAGTCTTTGTGCCTCAAATTGCTTGCCAGATTTATGATTTTCTGTCGGAATTCTGTAAAAATAAATACAAAAGATTAGCTGATAACAAGCGCGATTTGTCTGTATCAAATCTTACCCACGCTCAGGATCTTCATATGGGATATACCCTTGCCCCAGTATCGCAAAGCCAAGCCCAAGGTATCCACGCGGACCTTTTCGTAGTTGGTCAAGTCCCAGCGTAAAGCATCTATGGTCACCATCAATTGAGAGATTAGAGGCCAGTTCTCCTGACGCCATTCGGGCAAACAGGCGTGCATATCTATATAATCTTTAGCCTCCTTGATAATCGTTGAATCTTTGCCCTCGTTTTGCGTGTAAACCTTTTTAAGTTTAAGCAACTCTTTGAGCCCATAAAAAATTAACTTCTCCTCTGCCACCGAAATCTTCATAAGCAGCAGCAATATCAACTGCAGGCTGGTATAATTTAAGGGCTCACTAAACTTGGCCAGACCGGCGGCACAGGCCATTAGAAATTTATCTTGTGCCTGCTTCAGCTGCTCCTTTTCATACGGACAGAAACCGTCTCCCAGGCGTACGCAAAGTTTGCGCGATGCCATATACAGGCCATTGAGAATCTGACGATGGCCATACAAGGTTAGTAGAAAGCGCATAGCATTCGGTTTCAGCAGTAGTTCCTCATCTTGTAAGAATTCGTTTGCACAGTCGGAAATATGGAAAACAGCATGTTTTGGGCAACAATGTACGGCCAGGCGCCAGAAAAAGAGCATAAAGCGATAGGTTGTTACGGCCAGGCGGGCGAAATCCATCCAAGTCTGCTTGGCGTTCTCATAGCACAGCTCTAGAAATTCGACCAATGGGAATTCCTTGTTTGGATCCAAACGATTAAAGAAACGTATGCGACGTTCCTGGTGATCGGCATTTTCGAAATTAAAGTTTTCCGTCACATGGAGCATATCGCGTGTTTGCAACACTTGGATCTTATCCAGAGAACTTAAATTCTTGAATACTGGGCGCAATACTGAGTTTAGCAGACTCTTATACTCGTCTTCATCCCCGCTAACGGACATGGTCTCTTCCATATCCTTATCCTCGTCTATTTCCTGCTTAATTTCTGTTACGGAGATTCCTTCATCTTCTGTCACCATTTTCGATTCCACCACCTGGCCCAAATGTGTGAGTATCTTGAGAGCATGATCCTTGGTGAGTAGTCTTAAATGAGTTGCAATCGTTTCCACGCACTCATCGTTGCCAAAGGCTATGGATCGGTCAAAAAGATTGTCCAGACCGGCGACTAGCTGCTCGTCGGTGGCCTCGCCACGATCGTTATCGAGGAAGTGCAATAGATCACCAATAGTCAGCTCCGCCAGGCGTTCTTTATAACTTTTGGCTGCCTCTGCAAAGCTTTTCAACTGTTTGCAAACAGCATGCTGCTTCAGTTCCTCATCGTGTTCGACTAGTTTAAGCAGTTCGGACGCCTGGCAGCATATAAGTTCCTGGTAGCTGTATAACAAGACTTCCGAGGGAATCTCTAGCCAATACATAAACATATCCACGGTGATAAGCTGCATAATGCGCTCCGCGGCGTCTAGCAGAAGCATTGCAAAAAGTCTCAGATCTGTGTGATCGTTTGAGTAGCTGCTACTGATGTCCATACTCATTTGGCTGTAGATTGTGAAGCACTCTGGCTTTTCGCTCTCTTTTGGGTCGGCTAGGGTTTCCAAAAGGACTGCTAGCATCTGTTGCATGACAACGGCCACATATCTACGCCTTTTGGCTCCACGTGGCAGTGCCTCGGAAAGACGCTCATTCGTGTCCAAAAAATGACGTTGCAGCATGCTGGCCATTACCCGCAGCAGTTGCTTATTCTTTTCGGGCAGATTATGACGATAAATGCTCCGACTGGCTGCCTTTAGAACGCCAAAGACCATTGGCAAGGCATCGAAGCGATCCTGTCGAATGTGCGAGATAGCATCATTAAATGTCTCAAAATACTGATAGGTCAGCCAGCGAGGTCCATAGGCTAAGAACTCCTCCAGGGGCTGCTGCAGGCCACAGTTCAGGGCTATCGCTAGGGTCAAGAACTGTGGAAATGTTGGGAGCTGCCTGCACAAATGGATAACTTGGGAACTCCAGTTTGAAGATTGTTCTGTAGCAGAATTCAATATTATATAGACTAGAAGACCACGCAAGTGATTCATTGCGGCCGAGCCATTTGGGCGGGTAACCAGCTCATCGGGATTCTTAGCATGTGATTCCTGGAGCACAAGTTCATGCTCCTTTAGTAAGTTGTTCACCAAAATGCAAACCTTGTTGATGTCATCCTCATTCCCTGGCAAAAAAACAATCGCTTATTTAGGCGCAAGCTTTTGTAATATTTGGCTTACCGCTCCAGTACATCATGCCCTGCAGCTTCTTGGAGTTCCCGCAATGGTCAAGAAGGCATTTCCTCAGCTGGACAAATAACTGGCAGTTGTCCAGCGGATGCTTCTTCTCAATTATCATTCTACCGGCCGGTAAATCCGAAAATTCGAACTGACAAACAGATATTCAAGGAAGAAATATTGGGCAAAACAATTAAAGAAATAAATAAAAATGGTTTTGCCGCCAATCGATATCAGAGGATGCCAATTGCTGTTCATGCAATCGATATTCTAATTGGACGAAATTGAACTCGATTAATTCGCAAAAAATCGCCGGCACTCACGGTTAAGCTTTCGTATTTTTTAAGAACTAATGACAATAATTACAAAACAATTGAATTACAATTTCAATGTGATTTCTCTACTAGAAAAATACAAACACTTAAATTTGACGACTATGCTATGCTGAATCAAGATGAACTAAATGTTTTTTTGATGCTCAGCCAGACATTAAATATCTGCCTGCTTTGTTCTCTGTTTGGGCAAAACAGTTGCTCATCAAGATTTTAGTGCGAACTCAACGTTTACCTATCAAAACAAAATAATAAGTAATGAGTTTTTAAAAAAAGTTTTGCCCGCAATGCCGATATGTTAGCCAGCTGTTCGATATCGATAGTTCTGCTGAGTGGGCGGCGCGCGATAGTCGCGGTTGCCAATCGGCCGGCGAAGCACAGGCCAAAGAAATATAAAATAAAAGCGAAACAGCAGGCAAAAAGAGGAGTCGGTGTTCAAAGAACTGAAAAAACTGGGTTAATACCATGCCCGGGCTATAGGCCAAGTTATCTATAATAATATAGGCCATATTATTCGACGTAGAGTGGGTGGCGTGGTGGAGGAGTGGCGGCGGCAGCAGCAGCAGTAGACGGGCTTATAAATTATGGAGCTACGCGAATTGCGCGGTGGAAATGGTGGAAGCGGAGGAGTTGGTGCCCCTGGAACATCTGCAACATCGGTAAATGGAGCCCCAAGTCCCGAACTTGGTGGCATTTGTATTGGTGGCGCCGGCGGAGGACAGCGAATGCCCACCAAAGCGGATATATTCATGGAACAGCTAAACGCCACCAATGCCAAAAAGGTGGCGCTGCTCCTGGTCCTCGGATTTATCATTTACCACGGCCTGCTCAACTGGAACTATGGTAAGTCCAATGTTAAGAGTATTAAGTATGTATGTATATGTATGGACTTTGCTGTAACGGTAAAGCTTATCTACAACTGTAACGGTTAATATCTTACCTGCAGCAACTGTAAATTTTATACAAAATCAGAAGAAACAGTTAGTTATCATGTTGTTTCAAAGATCTGAGAATGTTGTTGATAACTTAAAATAAAATGGATACGAAGCTATGTACATATATAGTTTTTCCATAATTGTATTGATCATCTAAACTTGATATCAAGATCTTTTTCATTTTGTGAATCAAACATGTAAATAATTCGAAGTGTATGCTAATTGTATACATATAATTTCTTAAAACTCGAAAGATAGTTGTTCGCTATACTTTTATATGGATGTAGTTTTGTGTCTTTTATAAGGGTTTTGTTAAATTTGTTGTTTTAAATATGCTGTCTTTATTTTATTTGAAAAAAAAAAATTCAGGTCAATTTATAAGATCCAATGTGCCGATTTTAAAGTTAAGACTAAGCCTACATAACATTGGTTGTATAAATAAGAATATGATATTATGCAGACAGTCTTGATTCAAGACGATTTACCATATTCCACATCTGTTATATCTAAATGCTCATGTAGATGCTTTCACTGTTGTTGTTTGGCCTCTGTTACTCTTTTATTGATATTGATTTGTCCTGATTTTCCTTAGGCAGTGACTCCTGCCAGTGGCTGCTGTCCAAGGGCCGATTCAAGGGCGACAACGAGTGGCAGCCGTACGGTTGCATGGTGCACAAGTACTCCCTCACGTGAGTAATCAACACACATTCCCGACGAGATAACCTCCCCATTAATGACTCACCCTAACCGAAATTCACATTATTTACAGTGACACAAGGCGATGTTTGCGTTACCTCGCCTTCTTTGACAACAAGAACAACTTTGTGTTCATTGGGGACAGGAGTGTGCGGCTGCTTTATGACCGATTTGTGGAGCAACTGCGTCTACCGTTGGCTGCAGATGAATTGCCCGATGAGGAGGATAATAACGCCTCGATAACGGATGGCTCGGCACGTTTCGAAGACAAGAAGCTGCACATGCTGGCCCAGTATATTCGGGCGGAGGAGGTAAGTCCGACGCTGATTGAGCAGCTGTACCGCCTAGAGGCAGAGAAGCAACTGTCCTCCGTTTACGTGGTGGGCTTTACATATGCCAGTTTACTTGCCGGCAACACCACGGATGATGTGTTGCGCCAATATGCCGCTAACCTCACGTTGCTCGTGGCTCCATTTCATCGACTGGTGGCGCAAACATCCCGGGTCCTCTGGAAACTAGCAGATCGTGTGGATGAGGAAAAACTGCCACCTAATTGGAAGCTGTTGCAAAATGAGCACATTGATCGTCTAAATCATGTGGCCCGGGGTGTTTTCCGTTACACAGAGGCCAGTGTTTGGGAATCCGCCTGGCACATATCAAATGGTCTGCAAGATAATGCCATAGATGGTCATCAACTATGCGCCCATGGCCAGCGACTGGAAGTTCAGTTGCTGTGGAACATGTACTGCAATGATTACATGAACTACAATGATGGCACATGCTGCAGTAGCTCTGAGCCGCACACCACACTGCAAATAGTGGCATATGCCATGTTTGGTGTCTGTATGACCCTCGTGTGCGGTATGTGCCTGCGGAGATGGCTGCTTCATCTGCGTGGTCATACTTTGTATGTGCCCTTGCAGCAGCAGCAGCAATCGCATGAAGGCGGAAGAACAGTAGGAGCACCTAATAATGCCTTATCCGCTCTGATAACCGACTATGGCACACCCATGGTGGCGCTATCTCTGCTGGGCCTTATTCTGGCCTATTTCTATCTTTGTGATCGCACCAACTTCTTTATGAAGGAGAACAAATACTACTCGGAATTCAGCTTTTGGATACCAGTGGGCTATGTCTTTGCCCTGGGACTGTTCTTTACGGAGGATTCACGATTTACCAAGGTGCTAAATCGCGATCAAACAGATGAGCTGCGTGGCTGGATATTGCTGGTGGTGTTAATATATTATATGACTGGAGCACAGCGAGTGCTGCCTATTCACATGCACATCAAGCTATTGATCTCCGGATACTTTTTCCTCACCGGATACACACACTTTACACACCTATGGCAGACTGGCAATAGTGGCTCCTTGTTCGTGCGTTTCTTCCAAGCAATGTTTCGAGCAAACTTTCTCAGTGTGCTGCTATGTTTCTGCATGAACCGGCCTTATCAGTTTTATTACTTTGTGCCACTACTCTCCTTCTGGCTGTGTGTTGTCTACTTTGTACTGGCCCTGCCACCAAGGATATCATCTGCATCAGTGGACGCCAATCCGTTGCACTATCTGTATTTGGTGTGCAAGTGTATTGGTTGTCTTGGCGGCATCACTGTGCTCTTCATGTCGGAGGTATTCTTCGAGCGAATCTTTGTGACGCGACCGTGGAAGGCGCTGTTTGTGACAACGGATGATGACCTGCACGAGTGGTGGCATCAGTGGAAGCTGGATCGATATACGGTGGCCTTTGGAATGATCTATGCCGCCTGCTTTCATATTGCCCAAAAGTACAATGTGTTCGATGACAACAATCATGGAAATCTGTTTTCCCGACGGACCTCCATATCGGTCACATTGCTGGCACTACTAGGAGTTGGGGTGTATACCTCGTTCTCGTTCTTGTGCCGCAACGTCCAGAACTGTGAGGAGATTCATTCCTACATCCTGTTCATCCCGATTGTGGGCTATGTGGTCCTCAGGAATATATCCGGAATCCTGCGAACTCGGTACTCGGCGTTCTTCGCCTGGTTTGGCCGCATCTCGCTGGAGCTGTTCGTCTGTCAGTATCACATTTGGCTGGCCGCCGATCGACATGGAGTTTTGGTACTGCTTCCTGGTTTCCCTACGCTCAACATGATCATCACGTCGTTCATCTTTGTGTGCGCCTCACACGAAGTGCACCGTCTCACCCAAATCCTGCTACCGTATGCTGTGCCCAGCGACTGGCGTCTGGTCATGCGCAACTTCGTCATCTTTCTCATCGTGCTAATACCCGTCGCCCGATCAGATGGTATGTTCTGATCCTGAGCGATTCGCAATCCAATTGCCGCCCAAGGTAGACCCAAAGTATTCGATAGATAGCAGCCCCTATGGCAAAAAGTTAAAAGAGCAAATAATAAGTGTTTTTAAACTTCAGGGTGGATCGGTTTTATATTCAAGCTTCAAGTCTTAAAAACTAAAAATCTTAAAATTCTTTAGCCATATCTCAATTCTTTCTAAAAGATATTTAACCTTAATGGGCCATAGGTCGAAAATTGTTAACAATATACAAAATCTGGCATTCGTGCCGGAAATTCAAAAGAGACAATAATTTAATTTGTTTATATTACTTAATTTTGTTAATATATATTTGATTATAGTTTTATTTAGATTATTTCAAACTTCAAGTTATATTCGTATCTTTACAAATCGAACCACCCAAGTTTATATAGTGCGTGTCATAGCTATAAGAAGCAAACAATAGTCAAGTCTCGAAACGGAACCTTAAACTTCAACTTAATAATATGGTCATTTGATGAAATTTATCCTAAATAGTAATTTTGGTTTTAGCTAAATTTGTTTTTCAATTTACAACATAGATTTAAAGATAAAAGATTATGTAACTCGAAACTTAAGTACCTTAATTCGATTTAATTATAGGTTTTTAGCTCCCAATTATTCTTTGATATTTTGATTAGGATGTAATTTTATTAACGGGATTCATGCAAATAACTGCCTTAAGCCAATATTATCATTATATATCCAATAGAATTTTTATCGATTATGGCTTTAACTTAAATACGCAATATTCTTATGGTTCTGAAACGCACTGTAGGCACACCTTTAACTATAAATGATAACAAATTAAGATATATATATATATATATCGACATATTTTACGCCTATGTATACAATCTAGAGTTAATTTAGCTTAAATTTTGCACAAATTACTTAACAATTCAACCAACCAAGCAACACACACTCACACACACACTCAGTCAAACACAAGCAGCGGCAAACCAAATGTATGTATAAAGCAAGAGAATAAAGCAATGGATATATACTTATACTTATAACCATCGGCCGGAAAATTGATCACACTTTTTGCAAAAAAAAAAAAAAACAAACTTTGGACTGCGAACTGTGGCGGCCACTGAACTGGGCATCCTTTAATGCGGGCACGCGGATGCTGGAATGTTGGGAATGTAGGAGTCGCGCGGGGGCATGGATTGCGCTAATTGACATGCTGCAAACAACCTGCAACTAAGTCAAAGCTGCACTGAAGAAAATAATGACCGGGTAAGAAATTCTCTTTTAATTTAGTGGCTTATCGATCTAGAAGTGATATCAACTTAATTATTTCTATGGTAAGTTCCAAGTTTTTCATAAAATTTTTAATAATTTGAGATCATAAAGTTCAGATAGAGTAGTTTATTGTGTTTTGTTCTTACTTATTTTGTTTTAAAGTAAAAATCGAATCGAATCTTAACCATTTTGTTAACTAACCATAATGATATTTAATTTTTCAAAATTTTTAAAAGAATTTTTTTTATATTTTTCATTTATTTCTTTTTTGAGTGTAAAAACGCAGGTGGTAGCTGCTGCTGTGCATACTTTCCATTCACAAAAAGCATTCATTCAACTCGCGAAAGTAAAAAGAGTTGTGCTTCCCAGGATGTGAGAATATGAAGGATAAGGATGTCGATGGGGGGAGGCAGTTGGGACTGAAACTGGTGACGGTTCTACGCGTTTACAAAGGTACATATTTGCATACATAAGTAGACATACACTCTCAGTTAATGAAGAACTTAATTCCCATCACAAACAGAAGTTTGTCCCGTTTAATTGGAAAATGTTTCAGGTTTTAAGGTTTTAAGACTTGTGGCAAGCCAACTGCAAAAACGAGACATTTTCCAAACTCGTAAAGAAATCGGGTCATGAGTGTCCTAAAAAGATTACAATTTACATAAATTATTTTAAGATTTTTCTTTAAAGACTTTTTTTTTTTATATATTTTAGATTTTTACTTAGTTACTTTTTCGAAATTCAATTAGATAGATTATATTTTTTATAGTAAAATGTAATTATTTTTAAAATATTTTTAAAAATCAACTCAAATAGTTTTTCCTATTTGTTCTTTCCTTTGAAAAGAGTCAAAGGAATTTTCATAATTTTATGCTTTAAAAATTAAAAAAAATCTAAATCTTTACAATAACTATAAAAGTACATATTTCCTCATGAAAGTTTCTTTTGCGATCAGCTTTGGACTGAAAAGCTCACGGTTAGCGTCAACAAGTGGCTTTTCCAACCGCTTTTCCGCCCCCATATTCGAATTTGCTCAAGCTGCTGTAAAAAAGGCTTTCAAGTAGGAGCAGGCAAAGCTTTTCCGAGCCGCCTGAACTCGGCTTTTCCGACTTACAGCTCGTCGAGCCGAAGGGCAAAAGGTTTAAATTCCGGCGCTCAACGGCGTTGGCTCTCAGTCATCGGCCGAAAGTGTTTGGAAACGGTTCGTTGGCAGTCGCAAAAAGAAAAAAGGAGTCTTAAGAGTCACAGCAGCCACAGAACCACCACCCAAACAGTTGGGCGCCAAAAAATCATCCAGTCTACCATTGGCAGTTGCATGAAAAACTTAAAATTCAAAATTAAAAAACCGGCGCCCAACAATAAGAACACATAAATTGTTGCTGCTGTGGTTTTTGAAGAGTTTGTAATTTTTTTGAAGTGCCAAAGAAGCGTTTTCAATGCCCAAGCCTAAGCCTAAGCCTAGTGTGTGTTGTTAAAAGTGTGTGTTCTCATCAAATTAAAATTGTAAATTTACCCATTTTTTTTCTTGTTTTTTCCTGTTGCTTCAGTAAACATATCAGTTTCAACATATGTACTAACGAAATTATAAAGTGGAAAACATCAGAATCGAATGAAAATCTTAGAATTGGAAGTCGGATATTTGAATCCAGTGATGACCATCGAAAGGAAGGAATTTAAGGGATCGAAGAATTCTCAAATCAAATTCAAAGAAAATCAAATCGAAATTTGAACTTACACCAACATCTGAATATAACTTTTAAAACCAAAAAGCAAGTATATATTCTATCTAATCACTTTAAATAATCAAGTTATTGGTGTGAATATCATATTTAATCTGAAAACAAAATATTCTAAGTTAAGTCTACAAAATCATTGTGATCGAGCTTATTAGAGATTAAAGCCGATCGTTAATACAAATATTATTCAAACTTTACACAAAAAAAAAACTAACAAATTTGTACTAAATAAGTTTGAAGTAAAACGATCCAAGAAGATCACACCAAAAATATTACAATTTGTAGCATAAGATCAACTTAAAACTTTTACGATCACTGTCTAAGATAAAATCAAAATTTTAGACAAGTATAATTGATTAAAAATATTTTAAAGAATCAAGAAGTTCTTAACACAAACATATTTAAACAATATAATCCAAACAAAATCATTTGAGAAAAGCTATTGAAAGTACGCTTTATGTTAAGAAAATCTATTTTAATGTAATTATTAAATTACATTTACCTTGCAAACCTAATTGATATCAATGAAAAATCCAAAAAGAGCTTAAAATGCATCCCATACTGGATCGATACTATAGCGATCGCTATCAGATCAAACTTATAACCAGATATTTAATCGAGTTGCTTCGATTGAGAAAGAAAGCTAAGCGTAATGCTGAACTCTACGATTAAATGGTAGAAAGTTTAGGACACATCAATCCAAACCAAAATCCCAAAAGGGCTTCAGAAAGCACCTAAAACAGTAGAATATCTATTGAACTGAGTCGAAAAAAAACCCACTGGACATGCCATAAAACATCACCGATCGATAGAGAGGAAATAAGAACTTCAGATCTAAACGAATTTTCAAATTTCCAAATCTTCATCTAATCCAATTTAAAAAGTGCAAAAAAACAACCGTTGAACAAAGTGTAAATCGCGATCGTGTATTGAACTTTGGCCAATGTAGACCAATAGATGACTGTTAACCAAAGCCCAGAGCTGAAGCCAAATATATTCATCTTGTGGATCCAGAGACGTCCAGGAGATGTGATCTAAGGACTTCGGAATTTAACAGGTGAGAAACTTTTGTGACCAATGAGTCAAATTCAATTTCGTTGTCATTTAGTTGTTGGCACTGCCATTGATGTGTTGTTGCTTTCGTTGTTATCGTTGTTATCATTATCATTATCATCGCTCTGTAGCTCTTACTTATGTCATTTGCAATTACAATTGCTATTGCGATTACAATTAATGTTGAGTACATGAGCGAGATACAAAGATACGAAGGTATACATCCAGCCATCTAGCTATTTGAGTGAGAAAAACAAAAAAAAGTAAAAAGGACACTTGAAGAAAGCGTTTTGCCTCTTAATGCCTTTTACTGCGCATTAGTTAACCAAAGTATTTAGGGACGTTGAAAAGGGATACCCTTTCATATGCTTACCGTAGTTGGTTTTTTTTTTTTTTTATTTTCGAGGTTTCGATTTAATTTGTGGATTAAAAACGCAGACCTCCCACCATTCTTACAACCTAAAACCCACTTGGTTGGATGTGCGAGTGTCCTTGTGTATCTGGCAGTTAATTAGAATTGCGTTGGCCCGGCTGACGGCTTCTTGTTTTGATTGTGCCAGACAGACGCTTAGACAACTCACGTCTTTGCCTACAATTTGGCCTTTTCTCCCCACATACTCCAGCTCTTCTGTGTGTACACTGGGGAAACTAATCCAGTTCTTCTCTTGAATTTCTACAACTTATTCATTGTTGATTCTAATGGCTAAGCTTTGATTTTTCGATCGTCTTTGATATTTTTATCAAATTGATTAATATAAAATATGTTTTCAAAATCTATAAAATTGTCAATCAGATCGTTAATTACCGTTCTCAATGAAATCCTAACTATTTTCGGCTTCGATTTTTCGATTTCCTTTTGTAAACAATAATTCCATTTTCGCACTTAGATTCTCTTAGTTTTTTTTTTCGGTGCCAAGACACAAACACATACACAGTTTGGTAAGGCCCGAGGACATCGGTGTCCTTGCATTTGCTAAGAGGGTAACATCTGCCTGGTGGCCTCCCTTTTGTGCTCATCCTTTTCACCCATTTTCCTTGGCGCCCTTTTCGCTTTCTTCTTGTTTGTCACGAGTTTATTTTTCACGGACTTGGAATTGTTGTTTTCGTCTTGGTTTTGTTGGCAGAATCATATGAATTTGATTGTTGCTTTTCGCCTGGGAATTGGTTTGTAACATTCAAGTTTCCCCCAGCTTGAGTTGGGTTTTCTCAGTTTGAAGTTGAAGTTTTTTTTTTTACTTCTTCTTTTTTCATTGACTAAAATGTGCTTAAGTTTGGGCTTTTAAGTGAAAAGTTTTGGTACAAAATGGCATAGAATAGTTTTAGTTCTTTAGAACTATTTTGGAATAAATTTCGGAATATTTCTTTAAGAACATCAGTTATTGTACAGCATTTATTTTACCCTGCCAATTATACATGTAAATCGAATTTGAATTGAAAAAATTTCGAAAAACATTACTTACCTTTGAAGTGTTTAGTTTTGTTTGCAAAAGTAACCCACCCACTTTTCGGGTTTTCCTGCTCCTGTTGAATATCTCGCCACTTCCGACCCTCTAATGTATGCTACACTTTTGTTTCCTCGTTCGTTGTCATTTGCCCCGGGAAACTCGAAAGCGAATAAAAACGAGAAAAAAAAGAAACGAAAAAAAGAGAAAGAAAAATATGAAAAATGCCAAATGTAAACAAAATCAAAAATGCCGGCCATGTCCTTTGGCGTTTTGCTCCACATATTTTCTTTGTTGTTCCTCCTAATATATACAAATATTTTGATGGCAGATGGGGAGTTGGAAAAAAACTAAGCTTGTAGATGGGAAGGACGAAAGTGGGTCTGTTCGAAATTGCTGGGCCTGTTAATTTAATTTTCCTCCATTCCGCTTCCACTAACGATTTTCCTTCTTTTTTTTTGTTTTGTTTTGTTGTCAGATGTCCTGGACTTTGTGGCAAGGACATGGCAAAAAAAAAATAAAAAATATTATTAAAATGATGGGAAGTGGTTGTGTTAATAAAAATCAAAGTTGAAATGTCTGGCTTTTATGAGCTGGCTTTTAGTTGGCCCAACTAATTCATGATTTCACTTTGAATGCTATATGTGTTTACGAATCTCTGTAGTTCTTTTTTTTAAATATTTTTTTGTAATTACTTTTGGTAAGATGTTTTTAAAAGAAAATTTTTAAATCCTCTCTCTATTTAGTAGTGAATTTTACTTAGTAATATTAGGTAGTTGTAGGCAGCAGCATATTTATTCATTCCAAAAACTCATTCTCTCAATTCCTTCACTTCCTTAATGGAGATTATAGATTTATGATAAGTAAATCCCATTAATTAAGAACTATTCAATCACCTTTCTTTGTGAAACAAAATTATTCCCTATTTCCCTTTCATTGTGTTGATTTGTTTGGTTTTTTTCAATTTTCCATTTGACATTGAAGCATTAGCTCTATGTGATATCGTTTCATCCTGTCTATTGTTACTCTTTTCATGGGCATTTTTCAATGCATTTTCCATTTTTCAATTCAATTTTAATATTCACTTGAGTTTGAATGCCGTTTTCTTTTTTTTTTTTTTTGGTTTGTAATCGTTTTTTCTCCAAGTTTTTTCGTGGTGGAATTTTTTGTGTTTTATTTTTATTTTATTTATGTTCGCCGACCATTTTGCTTGTTTGCTGTTTGTTTGTTGGTTTTCCATTATTTATAACTGAAATTTAAAAGCTGTTGTTGATGCCGACGGCGCAGCTGCTTGTTGTTGTCGTTGTTTTTTCTTATTGTATATATATATATTTGTATTATATATATATACCTTTGTACATACTATATTTATTCTTGGCTATTTGGTTTCGGGAATTCCCTGTTGTTGTTGGTCAGTTCGGGCCATCTTTGTTTGTTTATTGCTTTTTTGATGTCCAGTTATGCTAACGCTTTCACTTTTCGTCTCTTTTTCTCTGATAGAACGCTTTATCCTTACCTCGATTTCCATTTCCGACCCGCTATTTCCCCTTCTGTTTTTTTTTTTATCGTTATTGCAATGTGGAAACATTTTATTTGTTTATTAATTATTTTGGTTTGGCCTAGTTTGGTTATTGCAGTTTCTTAAATGAATTCGCCTTTTGTTATGGGCAATAACCTTTTGAAGTTCTTTGCAGCATTCAATCAAACCGAACTTGATATTCTCCTGTGAGTTTAAAGGTTAAACCGTTTGTGAATAGATTTTTGTTTTCTGCGTTTTGTATTACCTGAATGTTCTGTGTTTTGGGCAAAATTAGAAGGCCGAGAGTCAAGGTAATCGGATTCATACCTTGGTCTTCCGCGAAATTGAGATATTCAATAATCTCCACTCGAATTTCCTTCCGTTCGATGAATTTCTACCAACCGAATTCCACCGATTGACCCACAAAAGGAGGCTTAACTTTTCAGCCCTCGGAAAGGCATTGGCCGAAAAATGGGTAAAACAAAAGGGCTCGAACAATGGGGATTCGCGGATGTGTATACATCACATGGTCATAAAGCATGAAGGCCTCTTTCAGTTCGGCTTGTTTGTCTGTTTTCATTTTTGGTTAATTTTTTTTTTTGGGGTTTTTTTTGTGGTGATAAAACGATCAATCTGATTGAAGTTTATTAAGAGACTATCGATAGCGATAAGGCTTCTAATTGAATGGTTGAACTGATTATGGAAATATTTTTATATTAAGCAGTGACTCATTAGTATATCTTCTATATATTTAGATAGTAGTAGTAGTTACCAGCCCATCTAGCCCAGTTAAATTTAACTACGCTCGTTGCATAAAAATAGCCAATGCAGCGGCTTACATTGAAACTTAAATAGCAAGAAAGTTAGCAAGGGAAAAATCAACAGAAGACGGCCACTCAAATTTCATAGTTCAAGTGAATCAATAAACAACCCAGATTGAGGAGTCCTGCATCTGCATTCCCGGTCAGAAAATGCTATCCTTACGGACTAGCAAAAAAAAGGAGTAGCCAAGAAGGCAACTAACTGCCTTTTTTCTGTCTTTCTTTTTTGTTTTTTTCTGTTTTTTTTTTTTGGCAGCTGTGCAATCGCATTAAAAGTCTTCGCCCACTGGCAAAATGAAAAATTACTCACATTCGCATATGAAAAAGTACACAAGACATGCAGAAATACAACGAACATACACATGAAAAATGGGAAAACTTCATTCACAATTAAGTTGAATATAAGTATATAGTTTTATCTATATGATAATGAAAGGCAGACTAAAAATCCCAAATAATCACTTATATTTCATCACTTAGGTTTCATGGTCATTTAGTAAATGAAAAATAATCCAATTTTTCACTGTGTACTTTACATATAAAATGTATATTGTTTCAGCATACACACCTCACTCTTTTTATCCGTCTGCCAGAATGTTTATGTTGAAAATGGCTGTCTGAAAATTCATTTTGCTTGACGCTTCATCTTGGCCCTGTGTGAAAAGCCGAAAAGTTGGGCTTTGTAAGAGAACATAAGGGAGCCAGCCATGAGGTAGCATGAACATATGTATTTTATATGGTAATGCGTTTAAAATCATTCAAATCGTGTCTATATCATATACATATATACCGCACACGAATGTAATTTGCAAAACTTTTTACCAAAACTGTCGCTCTCTCACTCTCTTGCTTGGCAAAATGTGCAAATGGCAGTCAAATCTGGTGATGGTCGTCGTCGTCGTCGTCGTTGTTGTTGTCCTCGTCTGGGCATATAAATATTTATGGCTTGCACTGTATTACTTCATAAACAAGTGTGTGCCGATCTTCAAGTCAAACACAAACTTTCAACTCAAATGGGCGAACAAATAAAACAAACATTTCGTATGAATTTCAAGCCAAAGATTGCAGTCAAAACAAACAATAACTGTGCTATCATTTGATATCAAAACATTTTACGATTCCCAAGGGAAATTTTTTCTAAATTTGTTGTAATGGGAAAATATTATATATTAGCAAAAAAGAGAAATCAAGTTTAAATCTTCAAGAAAAATATTTAAATCGT